AGCGACTGCCTCCGGCTCGGGTCATAATCCTGGAGTCCCGGGATCGAGTCCCGCGTCGGGCTCCCTGCTCCGCGGGGAGTCTGCTTCTCCCTCTGACCCTCCCCCCTCTCATGTGCTCTCTCTCTCTCAAATAAATAAATAAAAATCTTTAAAAAAAATTAACTTCTCTGAGCCTTAATTTCCTCATCTGCAAAATTAAAATGCACTCAACACACATTTATTAAGGATGTTACATGGGCCAAGCTCTGTGGTGGGTGTTGAGGGTACAACTAAATTAAGAATGTCTACCTCAGAGGGTTTATGTTAGGATTTAAGAAGATGTATGTGAAGAACTTAGCAGAGTACCTAGCAAAGAGTAATTAAATAAATAGCTACTGATGCCTATGGAGGTCGTGCTGCTGGTGATGACAATGGAGGTGGTGAGGATGGAGGCGGTGAAGTGGTGGAGGGACAGTGGGGGGCGGTGGTGGAGGTGATAAGGACGGTAAAGGAGGTGAAGTGGGTGGTGACAAAAACCTTTCAGAATCTGCGACGGGAGGGAAATGCAGAGGAGGCGAGTCATGTGGGGCAGCACTGCAGTCCTGAACAAGTTGCCTCAAATGCATTTTCAATTTGTAAATCCCATTTTCTACTGACTTACCATGTGAAACTGGAGATCTTTCTTCCTCTAGGAAAAAAAAAAAACTTATTCCAGAACAAAACAAAATCACACCCAGGAGGGCACTAATTTTATATATTTAAGGGAAATGAGAAAAAAATCACAAAACCATTAATAATACTTCTGATCTAACGCACACCTCTACATACTCATACTGTGTAGCACTCTCTCTCTACCTACTCAGAACAGAGGTCATAGGCTACTGCCAAAACAGTCTAAATAGAATCCCCATCAGATCATTCTCCTGCCCCCAAATCTTCACAGCACCCGTTAATGCCTGATATCCTCCACCATAATGTCCCAAAGGCACCGCTTCCCTCCCCTAACCTCAGCAAAGGGCATCGCAGTCTAGCCACGAACATGGGCATCCTCATCCCTTACCTGCAGCCATTCCCTTGGTAACTTCTGTCAGTTTTACCTATCAAATCCTCCTTTTGTGGGTGGTTGAGTTTTGAGTCTTGCTATAATTGGCCTTCCCTCCTCCAATCTCCTGAATATAAAAAAGAAATTCCTTTAGAAAAACTTCACAATGTAGATTGGGAAGGTGAAGGTAGGGAGTAATCCTCAAAACCTACAGAAAAATGTCTTCAGAATATTCTTGGGTCATATCTCACATCTTGTGAGAATTCCAGACTAATCATCCATTCTTTCCCTACTCCAGCCTGAGCTGGCTCTTTTCAGAGTCTAGCTCCCTCTTCAACCTTCTCTTTCCTTTACTTCACTTCTCAGAGGTGTTTTGATTTTTGTATTTTTGAATTCCTATGCCCTTCCAGCTCTGCAAGAGGAAAGAATGTCCCTACAAGGCTTACCTTCTTCAAACACTGGGGGAGGGGAAGTCAGAACACTAAATTTACATCTAGTAATTTTATTCCTGAAACAGTATGGCGGTTCCTCAAAAAATTAAAAATAAAAATGCCACATGATCCAGTACTTCCACTACTGGGTATTTACCCACAGAAAACAAAAAACAGTAATTCAAAAAGATATCTGCAACCCCCATGTTTATTGCAGGATTGTTTACAATAGTCAAGATATGGAAACAACCCAAATGCCCATTGCTAGATGAATGGATAAAGAAGATGTGATGTGTATACATACAATAGAATGATTACTCAGCCGTAAAAAAATAATTAAATCCTGCCATTTGCAACAACATGAATGGATCTTGAGGATATTATGCTAAGAGAAATAAGTCAGACAAAGACAAATATTACATGATTTCACTTACATGCCAAATCTAAAGAACAAAACAAATGAACAAATAAAAGGCAGAATTAGACCTATAAATACAGAGAACAAACTGGTGGTTGCCAGAGGGGAGGGGGGTAAGGGATAGGCAGAATGACTGAAAGGGAGTGGGAGGTATAGGCTTCCAGTTATGGAATGAGTAAGTCACAGGGATAAAGGGACAGCACAGGGAATATGGTCAGTGGCATTATAATAGGGTTGTTGTGGTGACAGATGGTAACTACACATGTGTGCTGAGCTTACATAAGGTATAAAGTTGCTGAATCACTATGTTGTACACCTGAAACTAATGTAACACTGTGTATCAACTATACTTTAATTAGAATAAATGTAATTTTTTAAACTTTTTTAAAAAGTTTAGTAATGTTA